CATCTTACACAACAGCCGCACGTTAGCACCAACAAACCTCTCCTGACATTTCAAAGCCGAAGCCTTCCCCTTGTGCATGGTCTATCTGTGGAGCCACCATCGATCGCATCTCGGGCTCGGGCGCAGGAGGGCATTGAACTCACACGCATTGCATTTGTTTGTTTTTGGGCAGACTTATGACGGGTGTCAGACCTACGAGGCTATGCAGCTGATGTTGACAGTCACAAGTAACGTGCCGGAGGATATTACGCACGTTTTGAATGTTTGTAGTTTGAATAGCCTCTGTTTAACGATGGTTATAGACTATAGTGTCGATAAATAATACATTGTCGTTTTGTTCACCTCTGAGCAAGCAAATTGCCATCAGGAAATGGATATGTCGTGTTTTAACAGTACATGTTTAATTATTGAACCCATTTGTTTTTCCCAAGCGTCACAGCGTGACCATTCAAAACAGGAGTTGTTCACTGACACGCAGGAAATGCGAGCGGGGTGACTGTATGGCGTAAGTAAATCGTTATTTCTGTATCACCCCGTTCACAGAGTGTACTTTACAATTGTTGTTGGCATTTGTCACTCACTCCTACCGTGAGTTCGTCAAAAGACGACGGCAACAAGCCCGACACTATTGTACCATGATTTCTCGTATGGAAGAAGGGGTAGCCCTCATAACCCTCCCGGAGGCAATGTAGGAATATGTACGACACAGGGAAGAAAATGTTGGTTGTTAGTATGTTGGTGGAAATAACCAGACCCAACAAGTTGCTAACACACCCATGTGCTGCAACCAGACACACTCAGCCATACGCCTCAGCTTCCCCGACCCCTATCCATCTTGTTATTAGCCCCTGGAATGACCTTTGACCTCTCGTCCATGAAGACGACCTGAGAGCGGTCAAAAGCAAGGACTTTACTCCTATGAACCAGAGCCTTGACATGGAACCTCTTTGTTCTTTTGATTGTTGTCCCCCTCGATACTTGGAGGACCAGATCTCTTCAGGTTTGTGCCCACGTTTCCCATCTCGATATGCCCTTGATTATATTTCTGATTTTGCGATTCAGCAACAACTCAGATACACTTTTTTACATTAAACTTTTATATTGTAATAACTACAGCTTATCATCCAACATTGTTAGTTACAAAATGTTGAACAATGTGCCACTCTTGACTTTAAGAAACCATAACATATATTGCTCGTGAAGCTCTCAGACAAGCCATGATGACTCATTCAAAATTTAAAGCTGAGATGTAATTGTTACGGTAAGTAAACGGGGATCAGATTTGTGAGTTTTGACATTAGTTTTAAAACTTTAATTACTGGGCATAAAGAATACTACGGTGTGCCGATATTAAGGCACAAAAGTATCAAATCTCGATTTATTTCTCTGCTATTGGACGATATCGATTTTAAATGAGTTTTTCGTAAGGTTCTGCCTCTAATTCATGTGCTGGCTGGAAACCTCTCAGACTATCCCTACATTCGATAGTCACCGAATTTTCCATTATTTTCACCATTTCGTTTTTATTCAAAAGCAATTCAATATTTCCTCTAAATATCGCTTTATTGCCCGCCCTCTATGACCATCGTGATCTCCCAGTAGCCTTAGTCCTGACTTTCCTACCTTTATGTAGTGTAGTATATTTTACTTTTCGAAATGTAAGTATTTTCTTGAGGAGACTTGCATGGTTCCCACAGAACAGAGATGCTAGTAACGTTAGCCAACACACTCTTGTACATTTGGTCCTTTATCAGCATTTAGACTCGCTTCCTTTATTATGCTAAAGATAACGATGCGTATGCTAACTTCATTTATCCATGCAACTGCTATTGAGTTATTATCTTTATTGCTTAATCTCTAATTGTGGTGAGTGCTCCCTCATGCTATGCATTCATTACATGGTGCACCCTAAAGCATGTCCTCTCATGACAAATAAAGGATTCACGGTGCAGTAGTCCATGTCTTTAGATGCTCTTTGAGTACTATACAACTAGTAGCTTTTCTTCTTGACAATGTGAACGTGAAGGGCAACTCCGTAAACCTACCCTTTTTGGGAGGCCTATTTTCAGCCATTTACTGCCTTTGAATAGAGAGCCAGTCAACTGATCCAATTGACAAACTGTGGTGTTTATAAAACCGGACGACCGAGAGACGGTCTCTTCAAATAACCTCCAACTGCATAGAACGCTCCCATTGTGTGACGTCGTGCTTTATACAGCTCATACAAGTTCCTGTTTTCCGTTTGTGCCGGTGTTGTGAGGGCTGTTTAATTGCGTTCATGGCATCAGTGCGTAATCCCTGCATGTGTCTAGCTCCGTCGCGCCCTGCCTGCTTGGCAGGTCTGCTGCATGAGTCCGTATGGGCTTAATTAGCAAAGTCATACTCCCGGCACCTCGCTGACTCGCAAGTGGTTCACTACCGCCAGCACTCCCAATCATCACCACCTCCTGTCCCCCATCTGTCACAGACGTCCCTCTACCACCCGTCCACAGACCAGTACATCGTTGAGAACGAACCCCAACAATTCATGCTTCGTGTGTGTAGCTGTGTGCCTGTGTCTTTTCATGAGCTTTCAGCCACTGATCTGGATTCCTTGTCCAACAATTCATTGTCTTTAGCTCCAGCCCAGCGAATAATTAGCATTCTCCACTCAAAACACACCACAGGCACAACACGCTATTTATTTTAACACGAATCCACTCCATTAATATACATTATGGCCAGAGTGTATTCTGCCAATTCCATAAACTTACTATAGGAAATTCTCCGTCCCCAATTACCCAACTTTTTTTCTCTTAATAGCTCTCTCATTGCATGCTGGGGGCTCCAGCGCTTAAGGGTGTTTAAACCACCCACACCTCTCAAACCCATAAACGCACCACACTCCCAGCCTCAAAAACGCAGAACCAACCACTTCCACACACTACTATACTTATTATAGGAGGAACATACAGCAGAGTTTTCTTGTTGCATTTAGCGGCTTCTTGTTAAATGTGATACTAAATGCCCGTATGAAGTACATACTGCTCATGAAGCTACCTGTTATATGGAGCTACAGCGCTGCATTCCTACCTTCCATCCGCTTCTCCGTCCGTGATGTGAGATGCTGTAGTTTTTAGAAACCGATCACAGTAGTATTGTGCAATCACTGCAGTCAAACGGAGTATTTCTTTTAGGCATTGACAGCTTCTCCCTTCTTTATAACTACTCTGCTCCTTGCACAAAGCCCTCAACACGTCAGCTTGCATAGGATCTGGATCATTCCATTTCGAAAAACGGGAGCGGTACTAGTTCAGATCCTCCTGTGTGCACTGGTTAGTAGTGTATTGTGGCGGGGGATTCGCTGTTACGTTGTGAGGCCGTCTGTAGATCACGGAGCGGTTAGAGGGTTAGAGCGGTAAGGGAGGGGGCGCGCTAGGGGGTTCCTCGGCTAGCTCACCCAGCTCACCCGGCGTTACTCATACGGTCACTGCGATTACCAAGGGGACAGGAATGAGATAAGTGCCCTGGAACCACTTTCTATGTTACTCGAACAAGTCCCATTGTGGGAAATACTGACAAAATTCTGTGATATGTGTTTCCCACGCAATATTCCACCAAATGCCTCCAATTCATTTATTTTGAATCCCTGTCACTCACATATAAAATTTGCTCTCTCCACTTTGGACGAGAGCACGAGACGCTGGCGCAACCAATCGGCTTCACCCCTCGCAGCTCGTGACCACAGTCTCCTGCTCACCTTTCTCGACTGCGGACCCATAATAGGGCTGTTGCATTTTACACTCCAAGATAACTATTTTTAGATTTATACTATGTTATTTGCGGAGTTTTGTCTGAATGCCTTGTGTTTCTGCGTATAGAACCCCCTGAAGTTTTCTCCTATCGGTGGCTTCAAAAAGTTTTCTAACCAATTATCTCACTTAATTGTCATTCATCCACACTGTTTATTGTGCGTTGTTTTCACTCTGAGGTTGAATAATGGCATTATTTGATCCTCATCATGACTGGTCTGTATGAAGCTAGGGGCTGGAGAGCAGCCTTTAACAAATACTCCCTTACCAGATGGATTTGTCTTCTGCAGGTCAAATCACCTGAGGAGGCTCTCGGTCTTTTGGAGTGCACAATGCGGCCCTACTCCCTAACCGACTTCTATGACTCCGTGGCTGGGAATTTCTACAGCTAGTTTAAGTAATACGTACACACGAAACAATCGCTATCTGCCTTATTTTGTATATTTTGTGTGTCCTGTGTGCTCCTCGGCTACGGTCCTGTCGTGCGTGCAATCTGTGGGACGATAAAGGAACTCTTATTCATCTTACCTATCGTCGCCTAATCACCGCCATTATTGGATACCCACCCAACATCAGATCAGAGAGAATAAAATGTTAGGAGCATCAACAATAGGATCCCATTGGATCCTCTAGGGCGCCAGGATGAACCACTGTGTCCAGAAAATGAAAAAAAAGTTGTCGAAATGTCTTGACTCATCCCTGCCCGATAAGGACCCATCCTGTCCTACAAAGGAACACCTCAGGAGCCCCAGTGGGAAAAAGGGATAAAGAACGTTGGCGCCGAGTACCATAATTGAGTGAGGGGCATGCACTCCACAAATGGACAGGCTGCAGATCCACGGACTGTCCAGGAAGTTGTCACTCGGTACATTCCTGCGGGCCCCCACTTCTCATCCTGTCCCCTCCCATATGGAAAAGAGTGAGCGGTAGCGTCAGGGCAAGTGGTAGAGTGGACAGGAGGACGCGGGAGCGAGTGTCTTCAGGTGGTTTAAATGATGAGCGTCAGAGAACAGAACCCACGTCATGCGCGGGGACCCTCTCATATTTACAACAAGTCGACCGGGAGGGTCCGGGTGTGAGTGTGGCCCGTTGCACACTTCCTTTAGTCCCCTTACAGTCTTCCCTTAATTGAAATTGTCACCTTTCTCTTTAATAAAAAATACAAACCACCAATAACCAATGGAATAATAGTGTATCCTTTATCTCGACATGGGCCAGAACCCCCCCGGAACAAACCGCTATCCGGACACCACGAGAGAGATGTGTCGCCAGGAAACAAGGTGTACTCGGGCTAGTACACCCACCAGGACACCGGGACGGGATGACGGAACCGGTCGGGCTAACATGCCAGCCAGCCACCCTTACAGGAACAGCCAAGGACAACAGGAAGGCCTTTCAACTTCCGCAGGCGGCTCGATCCAGCGGACATTATACACATGCCTTCACACTCGTTGCGGATGGGATCTGAACTCCTGCAACCACGCTGGAATAACCTCCGCCACCCCACACCGTACAATATTCACCTCACCAGCAGCCCCGCACTCTCCTGCCCGCTGAATGGTCCACGGACGTGTTGGGTCCAAGTCCCCCTGGTACCCTCAAGTCAGCTTAAGTCCTCCAGGCAAGGCATACTGTCGCTCTCTTGTCCTCTGTTCTGGGTATGCTACCTAATCAAGATCAAGTGGCCGGGTTTGATATTATCAGATGACTGTCTGTTTTTATTGTACTAAAAGTTAAATCAGCCATCTAAATGTCCTATGTTTCTCATTAAAGGCCCCTTTTTTCTATCCAACTTGGTCGCTGAGCAGCAATTATATTATTTGTTCTGATTAATCAACTTATTCTTTACATGCTGGACCGATCTCCAGGTGATGATGTCGATCTTTCCAGGAACAAAAACATCGACAATATATAGTATTTAAAGTAGATACGCTCAGCCTTAAATTATATACCGCCTTTCACAGCCAGCGTCACAAAGCGGTTTACAATTGTTATTTTTGGGCACTTGTCCTCTCACTCCACACCTCGATGTGGAGAGCAGCGGGCGTCTCCCCGAACAGGATGGATGCAGACCTATTGTACATATTTTTCGTGGTAGGGGGAACCAGAGACGAGCAGGAAACCTTACGCCTAAACAGGGGAACAATAGCAACAATTACCCTACCCCCACATACCACGAACAAAAAATAAACAGTCCCCCTGATGTCCTCTAATCCACTTATTTCGCACAAACCAGTTCAAAATATTATTGCTTTCCGGTCCTTATCTTACCTCATGATGTCTAATAAATATGTCCAATCTTCCAGAACACTAGCCAATCTTCTACAACCGCACACCACATCGCACAAATAACTTACCCACCGTATAGTATATCCTCGCCGTACAATATTTCCCATAAACCACCCATCCTTCATTGAAACACTTACTCAAAAGTGTCCCTCGAGCTAACCTACTAGCACTTCCCACAGACCGTAGTACTTCCAGTTTTTGAAGTACTTCCTAGCATTTCTTTCATACTATATCTACTACAGATTTGTACTTTTTTAAATATAACGTTAATCAAAACTTTTGCGCTACATTATAACAACTTGACCGCGCGCCACTATGTGTGGTCTAGTAAATGTATTAAAGGTCCCCATTTACGTCTCTGATATGACTGATATGCTGTCATTGGCGAGTAGCACGTTACTTTCTAGTTATACTAATACTTTTCAATATAAAATCCAACTTTAACCACTGCACTCAGCTTTCCTACTTCCTCCTATTAATCTCTCTAACTTTTCTTATTTGATGATTCGATTTATTTCCTTTATTATTTATGTAACAGAGAGTCGGAATGTAGATAGGAGGATGACAGGAATGTCTTGATTTTTGTTTTTGATTGATAAATATTAACAACAGCAGTCAACTTTAATGACCGCAGTTCTAACAGGGTAAGGAATGAGCCATATTTTATATCTGTCAGATAAAAGCAATCTGTTTTTAAGTGTATTTCAGACAATCCTTAATACAATTTAATATTCAGCACTTTATATCATGTTTTCTGCACGACGTTTCTAAAACCAATATCATGAGATTGGTTTATGAATTATGAGCATTAATGACTCGAGTCCTTGTAATTGGAGGCTGAGAACCGCTCGTCAGTTCTTTCTTGGTTTAATTCTTCTATATTCAGGCTTCTTCTATGATTCTACAAACGTATGACACTCCTATTAATGATATAGTGATTGGCCGGACTACCTTACGGTATTGGGGCCTGTAAACGTAGGTTAAGACTATAAGCCATTACTAGATAAGATGGTCTCTAGGGTAGAAATTCTCAGGTTCCTCTCTGACCATGTGCCTGTCATATGAGTGTAGATTTGCTCTCATGTTACTCTGTGTATAATACACTATGTCGTAGGAATCTCTGGCGTTAACTTGGTTTCTACACTAAATAACTCTTTACAAATAGGTTGCTGGCAAATGGCCTAATTGTTCTGGCGAAACCGCTACCAATCGTCTGTTAGGAGTTATGCTAAGAGGACCAAGTGCCCCAAAATTCTACATAACATTATTGTACAAAACGGGCTTTCCTGATAGACTATTTGGTTCTTATGTAGAAAAGGCTGGCTTCTTATAATTTAGGAAGGTACTTATAATTAACTTACTCTTATCTTATATCTTTTCTGCGTTGGTTCAATGCTTAAGTCATACTTAATCTTCAAGACCATGGTATCTGTCAATCATGTAAATGTAATTTAGTGAATCGCCATAAAATATATATTAACTATATTGCATGTCTATTCACAATAAGTTGGCAATAGAAAAAAAGGGACATTTGTATAGAAACAGGAGGTACATTTAATGTATAACATGTTATTATTACTGTTTCTAAGTACATGTCAACTATCACAGGATTCATTCAAGATAATATTCAATCTTCGTGACTCACTATTTTGAATCTTGATAACGTTAGATACATCACAGACAGAACCTGGATCAAAATAACACGAGATGACTGCTTCAGTCCAGTATGCCCATTTGCCTTGCTATATCGGAATATTGTGACAATGGAGTCGTTGAAATCTATCCCGGTGACACTATTAACACACGGACAAGTCCAAATGGACATCAGGTTTACAGGGGACGAGGACACTGATGCCGGGCTTGTTGGACTTTAGGGAAGCCTTGTAACTCGTTAATTAGGAGGGTCAGGAAGGTTTTCAGCGATGTTGTTCGGTGCAATATGGTTTCGATGTCCTTGCCTCATTCCGATTCTATTGTGCAAAGCATGTGTAAGTAGCCATGGACTCGGCAGTCCAGCTGCGGAATCAGTTCCGTCTTAGACGCATATTAACGTGCTGGTAAACCCTGATGCACATCAGCATGGGGGTTTGTCTGGACCCTCTAATATGTGACTTCCCCGCGGCTAGATTATAGTTTAACCGGTTTCCTTTCACCTTGGTCCGGGTCTAGTGCCTGTGCGTTGTCTGCCTGGTACTTTGTTGTTCTTTTCCTTATAACTCTCATGACGGCCTACTATCTCTCTCTTAGTGCTTGAGTAAGCGTGTCCTTTCTTTTTGTGTTTTGGATGTTTCCTGAGGCCCTTTTTCTTATTCAAAATGTCACCCTCTTTCTTCCGATGTTTTATTTTGGCGTATTTTTTTATAATTTCTCTTTTAATTGAATAATTTTTTTCAACCACTCGATCAATCTAACCCACGAGCGCTATGATAAAAGGGGGGCGTATAGACTGTAATAGGCGAAAAAATGAGCTCGTAGTCTCCTCTGGTTCCCCACCCTACTTGGAACTCTTAGAGTCTCCTTTTGATACAAAATGTGACATGAGTTTCACGATCTCCTTCAACCAGTGGGTTTTGTTTTTCTGAACTTCTTCCTCCTAAAACCACATTTGACAGACAAACGCTCCTTCTCCTTTTCCCCCCACTTACACTTCTTTGGCGTAACACTAGCTCTCACTTCGATTCGTCAAGTTAGGCACTGGGGACCGCAACGAAACTTCGTGTGGCCCGCAAATTGAGAGCCTAAGGTAAAACCGATGCAATATTTCAAGGGAACGTACCATGTTGAATATATGCAAGCAAGTTTTCATTGTTTTATTTGTGTGCATCATCTTCATTATACCCTACGATGCTATCCTCTACTAATATGGGTGTCTCCCCAAAGGTTTATAACCCTTTTTTAAACTATGGGCGTCTTGATGATGGTTCTTATGACTAGATTGCAGTAAATATTTTAACCATAGCCTGCAAAGTCGACTGCTATATCCATGAACCCCATTAATCACAAAAAATAACATAACTTTCATATAACAACCATCACCCCATATATTCAACCCATTCACCCCATATAATCATCTACACCACCAAAAAATCGCGTGGTCGCTTAGATTCTATTCCGAGCGCTCGACCTCCATCATCTATTCATGTAGGTGAAATTCCCATATTCTTTGAATTTAGAACACGGAGAAATCGATTAAGTGTGAATCACAATGAGTTCCTTTATTGACCCACGATTGCACGCGACTACCTAGAACAAGTAGAACCCGTCGTCGCAGCATCTCATCACAATAATCCACTACTTCACAAACATAATCCGGCTGTAGCTATGTTCTCTTCTACCTTAGTCTACTATCCATCTTAAACTTAGCAGTCAGTCTAAGATATCCTCCACCCTCTGGAGACCATAGTCAATCCGACATCGAATCATCTAAGGATTGGCCTTTGCACTCACCAAAGACTAGAAGATAAATCAGGTTTTGATCTAATATTGATACACAATTCGAAGGTTGTCGCATTATTTTGATACTTACTTTATAGAATTTTTGTTCATTCTCATGCCCCAATCTATCATACAATCGAATTCTTCAGTATGAAGTTGTCAGATTTCATGCCTTTTTTTTCAACCCACAGGCTAGTGATACATCAACGAATAGCACAACTATAAAACCAGATGTTTGGTTCATGATGAATGCAACTTAATGAATCGATAGATAAGAATATAACTTAATAATATCACACCGAATGTATTTTGGAAAACTATGATTTTCACCATTTAGCATGCAAGCGCAACACCATGCATTCCATAACAAACAAGCAAATACAGACAGATATCATCTAAAAAATCGTCACACCAATAGTTTAATTACTCAACAAAGTCTACTTTTATACATACAGAGCTTTATCTCTAGCAGCAAGATGTTTAGGAGTTAGTCTAAAATTCGGACTGGCAACTCCCAGCTATGAACCAGTACGGGGTGAAGGCACGCTGAGGATTTCGGTGATATCTTCACATGGAAACCTTCTGTCAACGTCCTAATATCATAATAGAGGAGCAATTTTATTATTTAATATATTTCAGTGGACTTTCGGTAGAGGAATCCTAAAAATATGGAAAAATGGGCCAATGTGTAGGATATATCACTTTTGCAAACCCATCTCCAAACTGTTGGATTAGACAATAGAAAGTTGTGACCTAGGTTACTTACTCACTCAATTGTATTTAATTAATCCGTCCCAGTTCTACCGTATCTGTCCGGGAACATAGTTCTATATGCAGAAAGTATGCACCCCGTCCCCAGAGATACCACTCCTGCCCCCTTCCCCCTTACCTCACTATGCACACCTAGATCCTATCTCTCCCATAGACCACAAATCCCACAAAGCCACTTCCTATCCACAGGCCCTCATCACGTAACAGTTCCTAGAGCCCCTGCATTCCTCACAACCTTAAACTCCGGTGCACTGCATCGAGGATTAATGAACATACGTCTGCTACCGGGTTCTGGGATAAAAAAGAGATATGAAACATAGATCTGTAGCTTTATGGAGCTTTGTTGCCCCGGTCTTGTGCAGACGCATCATTGTTTAAAAAGCAAAGGAGACAGACTGCAACATGGTAAAAGAAAAAAGTCACGTTTTGGACTCAGTTGAATGCCCAAAAATACAAGTTACTCGTTCATCAACATACATAGGCCTAGTCGAAATCACGGACGTGAATCAGCGATATGAAAGGAGAGTAAGAAAGCTATCGTCTTTTATAGCTACATTGTTTATCCTTTTAGTTCATCTAAGCCATTTAATAGTCTCATTTACGAGTCATTACGTATTACATAAAACAAGGTCTCCTTAACACTTACCGGAAAAAATGCCTGTATAACATATAACTTATGCTGAAATTTCTATTACTGATTTACACGTAGTAATACTAAGTTTTCGTGTTATGTTCGATAACTATCTTGCGAACTTTTAATTATGTTCTTACGCTTTTCAATTTTCAATCAGAGAAGTACTTTAGTTTTTAACCCACTTAACGCTCTTCTTAGTCACCATCGCCCATGCTATCCTGATATGTGCCAACATCTCTAAGAACCGAACTATACTAACACACTACAAGTTAGGTAAATAAATGACCTGCTAGCGAACATTTTTCCCATAAAATCACAACTTATTTTAACTCCCAATTAGAAACTAAAGGTCTCGCAAACCCGCATGGTCTGAGCGTAATAATTTTTAACTTAATGACAAATAGTTTGTTATTATACAAAAAAAAAATAGCAGACTGCCAACGTGCCATTAGTTATAGTTCACGCCGATAGGATATTAAGTCCACTCCAAACTCCCATCTCTCCTGAAGGCCATTTTTGAACTTCAGGGCACAAAGCCCCAGCATCATCCCCAAAAAAATTGCACCTTGACACACTTATAGACATCCTACACCGACACAACAGAAACACTCGGCACCCAGCTACCATAACACAGCCTTTCTTCACTTAGTTTTTTGTTCCTTCTCCACACCAAAGATCGGCTCCTCATAGAGACGAACAGTGTGGCATGACTCTCCAGATGAACCTTGCCCACAAGGCGACTATCTGAGCCCCCCTAGACGAGATCGGCAGTTTCCCGTGAGGGCGGACCATTCTTTTCGTGATTGAGCAGCATTGTCTGCTGTATGATGCACTTAACTCCACCCACCCCCCATGCTCGCAGAACATGGGCCCAACATCCCGGTTAATGACATCCCATAGCCTACTTTGTCACCATATTTATTCTTAATAACCACACTTGAACCTAAACGGACCCATAACCCAATCAAGTCTTAGAAGCACAGGCACAACAAGAGAAGGGCGTGACCTCATTTAAAACCATGCCCGTGACCACATGCGTCCATCACGCAACACCATTAAAAAACATCAAACAAACCTGCCAACTCATTATCCTACGGAAAAAACAACCATGCAAACTCTCTTGAATGGAGACCTTCATAAATAACGCCACGGTCACAAACCTAATGGAGGCTTCAAGCAATAGCTATATATGTTTTAAAGATCTTAGCCAGACAGACTTCATCTCCCGGCTGATCGTTTAAACGCACAGCAAATTCGTGCATTTGTGCTTATTCTCTTTGTCCTTTTGATATGTCTTCATTAAAAGAAAGAACTTCCACTCCAGCCCTTCCACCCACCACCTTACGTTTACTTGTAATATCCAACAAACCATTTCAAAGCGTACTGTCAAGAATTAATAACTAATAGTTGAATATCATCAAATACATACAATCTTTAGCTTTAGCATAATAATCCGAGTACACCCCCCCCCCCCCCTCCACCCCACCACCCCCCACCCTCCCCCCCCCACCCCCCCCCCCCACCCCTTATCCCCCCACCACCACCCCCCCCCCCCCCCAACCCTACCCCCCCCCCCCCCCCCCCCCCCCCCCCCCCCCCCCCACCCCCCCCCACCCCCACCCCACCCCACCCACACCCCCCCCCCCATAACCCCCCCCCCCCCCCCTTAAACTAATCACCCAATACACAATAAATAACCTCCATCCACCCCTATTCGGAAGCGAGTCTAAAATCTAAAAAGTGACCAAATGTAAAGAGTGTGTTGCTATAGTAACTAGCACTCTGTTCTGATGGAGAACCATGCATTTCACCTCAGAGAAACTACTTACATTTCAAAAGTAAAAGATAATAAACTACATAAAGGTATGGAAAAAGTCACAAAGTCATGGAGATCACGAATGTTCATAGTAGGGCTGGGCAATAAATCGAATTTAGGAAATTAATGGGCTTTTGAAAAAAACGAATTTGTGAAAAATGTGAAAATCGTGAAATCGAATGAAGGATATTCTGAGAGTTCCAGCAGCACATGAATTAAGGGCAAACCTTAATGAAAATCAATTTAAAATCGATATCGTCCAAAGCAGAAAATAAAATCGAGATTTTACTTTTTTGCCATATCGCCCAGCCCTAGTTCATAGGCCCAGTAATTACAGTTTTAAAACAAAAAGTGTCAAACTCACAACTCTGATCCCCTGTTACTACCGGACAATTACATCTTCAGCTTTAATTTTGATGATTCATTCATCTTGTCTGAGAGCTGCACACAATTTATGTTCTGGTTCTAAAAGTCAAGTGTGCACATTGTTCAGATTTTTAACAACAGTGTTTTTATGATATCTTTAGTTATTACAATAGAAAAGGTTAAAGAGAAATTAACAGGTTTTGCTAAGCTGCAAAATCACAATATAAACAAGGGCATTCGGGATGGGAAACTGTAGCACAAACCTGAGAGATCTGGTCCTCAAGTATCTGAGGGACAACAATCTAAAGAACAAAGAGGTCCAGGTCCAAGGCTCTGGTTCATAGGATTAAAGTCCTTTGCTTTTGACCTCTCTCAGGTCTTCATCAGGACGAGTAGGGTCAAAGGTCACAGCTGATAACAATAAGATGGGTGACGGTGAAGCTGAGGCTAAGGCTGAGGTGTCTGGTTGGGCAGCACAGTGGTGGTTAGCACTTGTGGTTCCTGGGTTAGATTCCACCAACAGTCTATCAACAACATTTTCTTCCCGTGTCTACATAGTTCCTCCGGTTGGTTTGGCTTCCTCTTCCACTAGAAACATGTACAATAGGTCTGGCATGTGCCTCCTTCTGTATGACGACCCTGTGAGGAGTGAGAGACAAATGCCCACAATAATTGTAAAGCACTCTGTGAAAGGTGATACATAAATAAAGATTACTTACTCCTTACTTCAACCCCCCATTGCCTGCGGTCAGTGAACATCTCTGTCTTGAAGGTTCAGCTCTGTGTCGCTGTGCAAAACATATGGTTCAATATGTTAAACATGTGACAGTAAACAGCTCATTTCCATTTCCTTGATGAAATATGCTTTCAGTTGAACAAACACAATGTATTATTTATCATACAATAAAGTCAGATACCCCAGCTTTAAACAGAGGCTGATTCAAACACAAACTACAAATCTTGCTGTAAAATCCTCCGCAGCTTTACTCTGTGACGTCACCACAGCTGCAGCTCTTATTTCTGGACACGCTCATGAATCTGGCCCAAAAACAAACAAATGCAAATGCGTGTGTAATCCGGCTCCTGCGCCCGAGCCCAGAGCCTCGATGTGCTCCACAGATAGACCATGCACAGGGGGAAGGGCTTCTGCTTTGAAATGTCAGGAGAGGTTTGATGTGCTAACTCGCTGTTGTGTAGAGTCAAAAGAGCATGTGGCTGTGATATTTGACTTAAGACGGTGCAGTAAACAGGATTAGTCCAGCGTTTATCTGGAGTGCAGGTCCACGGCAAATTGTTTGGGAGATTAAACACTATAGAGGTGGTCTTCCGTGAACACAAGAGCATGGGAAATATCCTCTGTGGTCAGACAGGGAATCAGAGAGAAGCCAGCTGTGAGCTAAGTGCTATACATGGGTTTGAAGGAGGTAATATACTTATCTCTGCTTCTTCACATCCACAGTCCTGACAAAGACCCACATCAGGTCTGGAAGTGGGTCTGAAAACAAATACAACACTGATGGGAGTCAATGCGGCTCCTAGAGTTAGACAGGATATCGGTGAAGCTGTCATAATCAGGCCTTTAGTTGATGTTAAAAGACAGGATTTACAAAAGAAAGATTAACTAGTATAATAACATAGTCAAACTTGCCCCTAGTCTACTTTACTCAATTATACTCGGCTCTACTCTTTTCTACTCTCCTCTACCTGGTTGCATTTCCAATACGCTCTGGCCACGATCAGTCATAACACTCTAGTACCAGCTCAGCCTGGATAGAACTAAAGAGGGTACTAAAGAAGGACCAGGCACCGGTTAAGCAGGGCCAGTGGAAACAATCCCTATCGGGGTAGGGTAGGGTAAAGTAGAGTAGAGTCCATTCAATGTATTTGCGTATCACCTTAAATCACAACAGCAGTCGTCTAGGAGGAAATTACAAAGTTGCGGATTCCCAAACAACAGATCAGAGATATAAACACAGGGAATGCAATATAAAGACAAACACATAAAAGTCATTGATCCATAGGGAGCGGGGTGTCCACTGTCCTTAGACCCTCAGGCATCGTCAAGCAACCACCCAAAACCCAGTGGGACAACAGGTAACAAGTTCTTCTTTGACTTTGGCTCTATCCAGGCCAAACTGGGACTAAACTGGGACTTAACTGCTCACACTGAGAGTGATTGAGTCGAGTAGGGCTGGTAGAAACTGAGCTTAGTTTATGCAGGCATTTCTTGTAAAATTATGAACACATGGATAAACTTGACACATGGAATAAGAGATAATGAGCATCACTCCTATCAAGTGTCTCAAAGTTAGTAATGTATGATTGTGGCTGGAGGAGCACAATGGTCCATGAGAGACAGAAGAACATTTGAGTCCTTTACATCAGTGGTCCCCAAACCCCGGAGATTCGAACCGGGCAGCCAAGGAAATAATACATTATTTCAGTATTTATTATCCAAGTGTAAACGTTCCTCTATATTGAATAATGACCAGATTCTCTCCTTTACGTGACTTGCTGAAATGTTAACAAATCGGTGTGTTCTGAAGTTTTGGAGCAATGAGGCGTCTGTGGGAGCTTTAACTGCAGCCCCTCTCCGCCTGGGAGTTGCTTCAGTCCTGCACCGCACCTGTCCTCAACCGCTGCGTGGCCTTGGTCCTCGTTCTGTAGCTTAGGTCCTGGATCTATAGCCCGTCCGTCCGTGTGGAGTGGACCCCTCTCTCAATGTGGATCTCCCCGAGGTTTCTCACTTTTCTCCCACTGGATTTTAGAGTTGTTCTTTGCCAAAGCAGGAGGGTCTGTTGGACAGTTAGTGTCTAACAAGACCACTAACAACTACACTCTAACTTTCTACAACATTCATGGACATTAGTCAACTCCCTGTGGACCAATGCCTATGTGTACTATATTTCTTGTGTTTGAACTGTTTGATTCTCTGATTGGCGATTTCAACGGTTCTTTTAAGTCCTCTGAGATGACTACTCTTGACATTTAGGGCTATTCAAGAATAAGTGGTATTGAATTGAATTTAACAATAGTTTAGTTGCTGGTCCGTGCAATTATTGTCTGACGTTAAACTGGTCCGTGGCACTAAAAAGGTTGGAGATCACAGCTTTACATGACTCACCAACCCGGTCCAACATAAAACACAAACATGAACAGGTCCCACACATTACACACTCACACTAACTGCTCCTACATAACACACGCAAGAACAGGGGAGCAAAGCTGTGCCCCACTTTTGCTCACTCACTCTGGGCACACATCATTAACCTAAAGGGCTTCAGTGGGATTACCTGCACACTGCTTTGTCTTGATAGTGGAACTACACGTGCACACATACATAGTAATGGTAGCAGCATCAGTAGCAGTAGTACACAAAAGTACACATTCCTGTTGTATACTTTTATCGAAATTTCCCCACTGTGGGACGAATAAAGGAACTCTTATCGTATCAGCAGGTGTATTTAAAGCCAGAGCAGAGGCTCACATCACACTGGAAATGTTTTCACTTTTACATAATAGCACACCACTTGTATTCAATTTTCTCATTTGTGTTTGGATTGACGGTAATTAAAGCCATTCCCCGTACCGGCAGCAGGAGCAGCAGCAGCAGGAGCAGCAGCAGCAGCAGCAGCAACAGCAGCACAGGAGGAGCAGTATTTTAGTTTGCTCTGTTAGTTCCTTCTGCATATGTAATGGATAAACATGCTGATGGTTTTCATTGTATATTTTGTTATAATACACATAATAATAATTACAGTACACATTTATTTAAAAAGCGCCTTCTAAAACCCAGGACACTGTACAGCGCATAATAAACATTAAAAACCAGAAGCATACAGAATAAAACAGTAAAAAACCTACATGGAATGGTGGGTGTGTGTGTGTTTGGTGGGCGTAGGTACCGTCTGAACAGATGGGTATGGAGTCAGGATTTGAAGAGCTCTGGCGGCGTCGCGATGGTAGGAGGTCAGGGGGGAGAGCGCTTCCAGACGCTGGGGGACAGAGTGGCCTGAAGGCTCTGTCCCCACGGTGCTGAGTTGGCTGGTGGGGCGGAGAGCGAGGGACTGTGATGAGTGGCGGAGGAGCGGAGTGTGCCGGGCCTGAGGGGAGGTGGCGGGGGTAAGATAGAGTACGGCGGGGTAGGTTGTGAAGTGCTTTGAAAGTGAGTGAGGGAGTCTTTTGGAAGTTGATGCCGCTGTTTCACTACGGCAAGCAGTGGACGTTGTTCAGGAGTACGGGGGTGATGAGTTGTTGTTGGGGACATCACATGGTATCATCCGTTCCTGTTCCGGAGCGATGACCCGTGTCATGTTTGTCGCAACCGAATTGCTATTTTTAGTTTATATGTTTGTCTTCTAAATTAAGAGATTAAGAGTATCACTTTGTCCCCACAGTAGGTCGAAATGTCCAGTGTTGCATCACCCAGTTAACTGAGAGCGCATGAGGGAGCACCCAACCATTAGACAAAATGAACACATTACCTCTATCTAAAATACTGTTCTCTATTAACATGGATATCGCTGCAGTGGCTATAGTAAAGTGGGCGTGAAACAGGTGGAACCTGTGGTTTCACTCTTGCACCTTCCAGACCGATTTGTTCAAATGATTGCTCAAGAAATGCCCAACATGTGATCGTCAGGATCGCTAATTGTTTGTTGTAGTCCTCCATGTTCGCTGTACCAGTCAGGACCCAGCTGCAGGAAGGACAGATCTACGGGAAAACATCTCTTATCTTCTTTACCAATACCATTCTCGTCTGGTGGAGGTGTTCTTCAGTCGGACACCTCTGCTTTAAAGTTCGCGCCCACTGGTCTAAAGTCGGGCAGTAAGTCCGCTGAACAGAGGATCAGTGGACTGAGGTGGTTCCTACCTGTGATCCCTGAATCTGCGATCAGGCGCACACACATCTTGTGCCTCGTCCAGTCTTGAGTGATACAGCGGGACCTCCCACCCGGCCTCTATCTTTTGGCCCCTGTTTCCCTGCCTGCCCAATCTCTCTACCAGTATGTAGGTGCTGGACTGGACGATGGGTAAGCTTGTATCAATATTCACTCCACATGTACTTCTATGTAATAGCCGTAAATCTACCCCCCATTAGTCTCTCATGAGCAATTTTTTCCAACACGTTGCACTCCGCCCACCACGGGACCCGAGCGCATCAAAACCAGTTTTCGACCACAACTATTATGAACATACCATATTTTTTGGACTCCTCGCGGAGTGAGACCCAATGTCCCCTAGCAGTTGATAAGTGTGTCACCAAATGTTGTAAGGACTGTTCCAGTTGTCCTGGATCCTCATCCACACAGTCGTTCTAGACACTATACCGTCTACACAGACCCTCCTAGCTCGGCAAGGAACAACTCCTGCAAACCCGTGGCACTACAAACGTGAGGACACGCTCTAGGGAGCTTTCCCCTTATTTATGAGTGCCGGGATCTGTCCACGGCACGTCACGGGCTGATAGCTCCAGGCCCTAAGTACCGCAGACGGCTGACCCACGGCCATGCCGTTGTCAGTTGTGTGTAGCAGGTCAGGGGCTCCTTGTTTTTGCGTGTCTCGCGCCCGTATGCACTGTCAAATCATCCGTCACACTTTCCCTTCTCCTAGCACACTTACGATTGTAGGGTCTTTTTGCGGTCCATAATGACAATCAGCAGCCGGTTAAACAACCTATGGTGACCCACTGCCGAAGCAGCACACACACAGCTCCAGGCCCACACCCACGACTACGCACCAGTCTAGTCCGTAAGACACTACAAGAGCAGAGGGCAGACTGAATGAAATGTCCTGTGGTGCTGGAGGTGGGCAGGCAGGTCGGAGCTGTCTTACGATGCGCTGGAGGAGCTGCCATGTGGAAAGCTAGCCCATGTGGAAGGTGGGACAGAAATCCTTCCACATTGGGGCCGGTGCATCGGATGCTGAAGCGACTCACTAGCACGTAACCCTCCCAGAGCCAACCGTGAAAGCGTAAATGTGCGTAGAGCCGTTTCAGTCCTCACCACGTTTTAGTGCCTCGTGCGCTCACCCCTACGACTTTTTAAAGAGGAGCGAGCGTATTCCTATTTGAATCTTAGCCAGTGTATCCTTTATTCATACACATGTACACTTCCCCCCCAAAGTTCCGCGCTCACAACACGTAAAACTCAAATCAACAAGAACGCACTCATGTATAGTGTAGAGATTGGTGCACCATTATATTCTGTCCGCTTGAGATTGGTCCCTCTACGGCAGCGGCCCCTTTTTATAACGGAGGACCGTGAGAGTCATTCCTCTGTAGCAGGCCCTTTCTTCTTCAGCGACAATCGGAACTCGCCCACAGATCCACCGGATGTCAATGCTGTGACAATTGCCCGACTCCGAATACCCAGAACCGACCTCCACCTTTCACGGAGACTTAAGTTACTCCCAACGTCCCTTCAAGGGGCCATTTTAGGCAAACCTGTGCCCTACCATCTTCTTTGAGGTCATGAGGGTTTTGTTGGAGGATGCCATTCATGAGCCGCGGCGGTTACAAAGTCTATCGTCTTGCAGCAAATCTCATTCTTGATTTTACGCGTACCTAGCGTTTGGCTGCTTGTTTCCCTGAAACCTTATGTCTGGAACTCAGATATTGGGGAGCATATCCCTATGTTATAGAATTACCGAACCTACCACACACACACAGGGGCCTCCAGTTCAAAACACACTACGAAACGCTCCTGCCTGAAGCCGGCCTAAAAACGCTGCTTCCAAGTCCTGACCTGCATTCATGCTTATTGCCTGGCGACAGGGGGCTGGGGGGGTGTGGTCTGATATTTCTACCGCGTAGCAGCCTCGGATGTAGTATTAAGGTCACCAGGCCAACCATGGCCAGCGCACGAGCGGCATCACAGAGCGGAACAGGGCTGTTCCCGGGTGGGGTTCTCGACATACTCGCAGTGCAGAGACAGGTGGGACTGCGGGCACTATTATGTATGGCTGCACAAAGACTCAGCGTGCTGAGATGGAGCGTACATTTGCCACGCTCACTCAGAGGTTAGAATATGCAATTCTAAAGGCTTGCTTAGCACAACACTAGAAGGCAGCTTAAAGGGTATGCTTCGAAACTAGAGTGCAGCCTCTCAGGGTTTGCATACGGAACAGAGGCAGTCTAACGGAGTGCTTAGCAACATCGATGGCCGCTCTCAAGGGTCTGCTAGCAACATAGAATGAGATCTAAAGGGGTCTGCTTATCGACCACCCGAGGCAGCAAAACGGCTCCTGCAATTCGCGTAGCAACCAGAATCAACCACATTCGGGTCACCCTCATCATTCTAAATTTATTCACCCCAACAACCAAAACCTACCCCCCCTACCTTCACTCAAATCCCATCAATCAATATTATATTACTACAACACCACATTAACACCACCATCCCATCACCCACATCACTAACCAACATCAACACCTACCTATAACCAACAAAAACAAACACCATAACAACATCCTCCATCCATCCCCATCAAAAATCCTATTCACCAACTCTCAATACAACATTACACACCCCCTATCACAATTACAAACAACACACATCCACACTACACCACAATACATCTCAATAATCTTCCCTCACCAACCATATCGTCACACCATTTATACACAATTCACACCAAACCAAATAACAGCATCATACCCAACAAACCCACAAACTACTATAAATCACTACCTCCCCACCCTCTCACATTATCTTTTCTCTCTTCTTATCTCCTAACTCTTTCCATATATCTTTACTCCCTCACTATCTCCCCACCGATATCCTTTATCTCTTCTTACTCCTCCACACCTTAATATATATCTCTCTCTTCTTATTACCCCTACCTCTTACATATATCTTACATCACCTCTTATCTCTCCCCACCCTCTATCTACTCTCCCTTATCTATCCCCCACCACTATATCTTTACTCCCTCCACTATCCTCCACTCTATCTTTCTACTCTTATTATAATCAATAAATTCCTACCTACCCACCATTTAACATATCCTACAACCTCTCACCAATACAACACCATACACCTCTCAAACTCCCTCTCTCATCTATTCATTTCAACAATTTAACATATCACTTCTTCCATTCACACACTATCACATTATCACAAACTCTCCCTCAATCTTTCTACTCTTCTCCTCTTTTTCTCTTTTACTTCTCCTCTTCCTTCTCTCTTCACTTCTCCTCTTTCTTCTTCCTCTTATTCTTCCTCTTTCATCTCCTCTTTCCTCTCCCTTTTATTCTCCTCTTTCATCTTCTCTTATTCTTCCTATTTTTCTCCCCCCTCTTTATTCTCTCTTTCCTCTTCCCTCTTTATTCTCTCTTCATCTCTCTTTATACCCTTTTCTTCTCCTTTTATTCTCCCCTTTCTTTCCTCTTCTTCTCTCTTTATTCTTACTTTTCTTCTCCTCTTTCTTCTCCTCCTCTTTATTCCCTCTTTCTTCTCCATTTTTCATCTCTCTTTATTCTCCTCTTTCTTCTTTTTTAATGTTCCTATTCCTCTTTCCTCTTCCTATTTATTCTCTTTTTTTTTTTTTTTTTTTTTTTTTTTTTACCCCCCCCCTTCTTTTTTTTTTTTTTTTTTTTTTTTTTTTTTTTTTTATTTATTTTATATATAATATAATATAATATATTTTTTTTTTTTTTTTTTGTCCTACTTTTTTTTTTTTTCCCCCCCCCCAGCGTTCAGACGCGCGGAGCCCTGGGGAGGGACTGAGGGTGGATAAACGGGCGGAGCAGGCGGTCGGAGACCAGAGGTTAGGAGCCAGAGGGATGAGACAGCGGTGAGGACAGAGGAGGAGACAGAGGGTGGAGACCAAGGGCGGAGCAGAGGGAGGGACAAGAAGCCGGAGCGAGGGCGGAGACGCGGAGGAGACATAGGAGGAGACCAGATGACGGCGACGAGGGGGATAAAGAGGGAGGAGGGACCGTGGGAGAGACAGATGGAGGAAGACAGAGGGAGCGAGAAGAGGGAGGAGAAACGCGGAGTGAGAACGCGGGCGGAGCCGCGCGGAGCCAGATGGAGGAGACAGGCGAGGAGACAGAGGAGAAACTGAGTTACCTCCCACTATAAAAGTAACTAGTTACAGTAAAAGTAACTTTTGGTTACTTTTTTGTTTGTTTTAGATAATTGTATGCATTATTACATTAAGGATCCCTTCTAAGTAGATTACTTTTTGCACCCCACCCTATATATTTTAAGTATTCTACAAACGTCTATTAGATCTTGTATTGCCATTATGCAAAGTACAGACCTGCCCACGTTTCCTTATCATGACATTGCATTTATATTATACCTTTATAACGAACATTATAACTGGATCACTCATCTTAACTCCAATAATAATTTTATTATCTCTAACCTAAAACATCATGTACTTCAAACACAATTATACCCTACCATCCATATGAAATAACCATTCCTTTTCTTATTATAATATTACAGTACATCACTCCTCTAATCCTCCCTACAAGCAACCACCCACTTGATTGGTATTATATTTATCCCAAAACCATCCTTATAATTTAATCTACACTAGAAACTATCCCGAATTAATCCCCCCCCCCCCACCCTACCCGCCCACCTTAACATTAACCTGGAACGATATTATATCGTGGAGTCACTCCGTACTCCTCTGTTCACTGTAAATCTCAGTTTTCATAAGTCTATCCCATATACTCCTCTTTCCTCCCTTGTCAACCAAGAACACCTTGTCTTATCTGTTCTCCTCTTAATCTCCATGTCATATTGTATATCTCCTAAGTTACACACTGTACCTCTACAGTCACATCTATTTACCAAAGTATTCTAAGACTACCCCCTCAGTTTTATCTCATGTATAACCTTACTGTCTATCCCTCAGTCTCACCTCTGTTCTCTCAGTTACAATTACACACATGTTTCCCTCTGTGTCTCATTTGTATTTCTGTTCCACCTGTTTTCTTGTAATAACTCTGTCTCTCCCTCTAGTCTCACCCTTGTCTAATCCTTGTCTCCACTTGTTCTCCTCGTTCATATGTCTGTCACATCCCTCTGTCTACCTCTGTCTCTCTCTGTCTCTCCTTTGTCTCCACCTCTGGTTCTCTCTGTGTCACTTCCACTTCATGTCTACTCCTCTGTCTCCACCCTCTGTCCTCCTCCCTTTGTCTCTCACCTCTGTGTTCGATGCCTCCCTCTGTCTCGCACCCTTGGTCTCCGCCTTGTCTCATCCCTCTGTCTCCATCTCTGTCTCATCCCTCTGTCTCCACCTCTGTCCTCATCTGTCTGTCTCCTTCCCTGTTCTCCTCCCGGTCTCCTCCCTCTGTCTCTCCTCTCCTCAGGATGCGTCTCTAAATAGTCACCAAGAGTCACAGTATTTATCCATTTCCGCCTGCATCTCGAGACCCCAAGCACTGTCCGCGCTCAGGCTCTCGCTCTGCTTAAGAGCGTGCTGATTACTTTATAGTGTACAATGATGCGCTGTGAATGAAGCGTTCACAGAGACCCATTAGTGGTGGAGGACAGTAGTCCAGATAGCTACGCACAGCTCTCTTCCTTCACTTGGCTTGGGTGGGTGTTTGCCACTGTTTCTACTCCACTTGGATTGGGGTCGCCACTCCTTTCTTACTCTCCCACTTGGCTTGGGCTCTCACCTCTTTTCTACCCAGTCACAGCAGACCTCTGGACGGGTTCTGCACCTCCTCTCTCTCCACACACCGCGCTCTGGATTGGGGTCTTGCGCCTCCTCTCTCCCTTCACTCTGGACTTGGTGTCTCGCATCCTTCTTTCTCCCTCAACATCAGACCTCCTAGACTGGGGTCTGCACCTCCTCTCTCCCTCACGCAGAGCTCTGGATTGGGGTTCTACATAAACAATAAGTGTGTGGAGATGATGATCACATAACAAGGAGGTGAATACAAAGTAGCACCGTTGCCTCACAGGATGTAGCTGTCTCATCATTTCGAATCAAAATGAATGTAGTATTATAAAGTGGTTTCCAAAGTCAGCTTTGTGGAGAGCCATAACAATATTTCGCAGCGTCAAAAGAAGCATTTTCAAATGCATTGTTCATGACTAAAAAATATATAGATATATCTCAACTACTTTGAATCAAGGTTATGTGCATTTTGGTTTGAGATTGGGGCGGGACACCGTGGTAGATGGCGATGTTGACTGTGCGTGTTTTGACCATAACTATGGTTTTTATCCACACATGGACTCAGGAGTCAGGTTGGTGACCCTTATGGGTTGATTCTGGGGCAGAGCGATTGCATGGCCGTTGAGAGCTGCTCTGGTTTGTGCTAAGGCAGAGCCTTTAGAGCTGATCTAGTGCTTGCTCGCAGACCTTTAGAGCTGCTCGCTGTCCGGTTATGAGCAGTTGTAAGCAGACCTTTTGAGCATGCCTCTGGTGTCGTAAGCGCTTTGAGTGCTTATTGCTGTAGTCCGCTGCCCTTAGAGCTGCCATCTTGTTGCTAAGCAGAGCCTTTGAGCTGCTCTGAGGGATGCTGCAATGTCAGCACCAATATCTATCTGCTCGTGTCATTTGTGCAGCTTGACTCATTATGTGGCCGCCTTCCCACCTGTCATCTGCACTGCGATTGTGTCAGACGCCACCAGGGAACAGGCCCTGTTTCCTCTTCGGTATGCAGCTCTGTCCTGACATTTTGCCCTTGACTTAATACACAACCTGAGGCTTCACGCTGAAATTACAGCCCACACCCCCCCAGCCCCCGTCTCCATGCAATAATCATGAATGATGTCAGAGTATTGGACGCAGCGTCTTTTAGGCCTCGGCTTATCCGCCAGGGCGCGTATTCGTAGTGTGTTTGACTGAGGGCCACTTGACTTCCAAAACATCGATTTTTCCCCTTTTTCTTGATTCTGACATACTTCTTCAGGGCAACCATCATCCATACTTCTTACGCTTAACATACGCGCACTTGCTTCCAGCATCTCGACCTATGTAACCATTCCCCGGCCATAAGGCATTCCCTAACAAACCCTCAAACCTCACTACGATAGTGTAGGCCAGGGGTGGCCAAAATGTCCCATTCAGACTTTGGACTTTAGGATGAGAAACTAATCTCCTGAAGAGACGGTTTCTGTTACTGATTCTGGGGGCAGTTACAGCCTTGCCATCCTGTGACTACTGGTGCCGATAAACGTTCAGATTTTCTGGAAGATCAACGGTCCTGCTACAGAGAAGCACTCACCACGGTCCTTTATAAAAGGGCCTTCCTAACAGGACTACTCAATCTGACAGAATATATGTTTCCACTTCTACCATGACACTGATTTCTTTTCTTTGATTTATTGTACGTTAGTGATCCTCTTCCGTTTGTTGTGTACATGTGGATTAATAAAGTCCACTTTCTTAAGATCAAATAGGATAATACCTCCTTCCTCTGTAAAACCGTCTTGGTGATCACTCATCACTTAACTGTGAGGACTGAACCTGCTCTACTCACATTACCGCGCGTTCACTTGTCTTCTGAGGGTGTTCTTGTGTAGCTCGTCTTCAGGCTCTGATTGCACCTGGCCCATCGAATGAGTTCTGTCACCTCCCTTTGTCTATTTCCACATCAGCTCACTCCAGTTGCACATCACAGCTCCTCCTGCCTTGCCCTCCTCCAGCACCACAGACCAGCTCATTCCTGTCTGCCCTCTGGCTCTGTGTAGTGATCTTAGATCTAGCACTTGTGTGTGTGTGTGTTGCTAGTGAGTGCCTGTGACTGTGTGTGATGTGCTTTCGGCAGGGGGTCACTATACATATGTGTATTTTTACACCGGCTCTGCTGATGTCATTTGACCGCTAAAACGACCCACACCTAAGTGATGAGAAAGTGAAAGTGTGACGTTATGCGTAACAGTGGTCATACGGTCCGCGTAGACACTCAAAAACAGGGACGGCCCATACCCTGCTACAACACAACTGACAAGCTGCGTGCCTTGGTCCTCGTTCCTGTAGCTGTACGAGTCGTCCCTGGATCACGAGCCCGTCCGTCGTGAGAGCAGATCCTCTCTCTTAATTATGTGAATCTCCCTGAAGGTTTCTCACTTTTTTGCCAGCACGGGTTTCAGAGCTCTTTCTCGCCTTGCCGATGCCAGGAGGGGTCTGTGTAGCCTGTTACGTGTCTAGAAAGGTCTGTGTGATTGATGACCAGGACACTTTTAACATTCTACAACGTTGTAGAGTAACAATTATCGCAACTATGCATGGACCATTGGGTCTCTCCCTATGGTCCATAAACTTGGTGTTCTATATATTTGTGTCTAAACTGTATGATTCTCTGGGCTCGTGTTGACGATTTCAACGGTTTTGGTAACGTTCTCTGAGATGACTATGTTGAGATTTTCGGGCTCTACAAGAATACATTGACTTAGATACTTGATTACAGAGCTGCCCCTCCTCCAGGTCCAGCACCTACATACTGGTTATATAAGATGGCGGCGTTGCCAGTCTGTTCCCGGGCCAAAAGAAGAGCCCTTGAGCTGGAATGTGGATCCTCTGCTATCTGACAGCTGACAGCAGCAGATGTGTGCGCCTGATCCCGTTTCTGGGTCACAGTAGGAGACCACCTCATTTACCAGATCCTCTATGGTTCTGCTGGACTCCTGACCCTACTTTAGATCCAGTGCTCTACTTTAGAGCAGTGTGTCTCACTGACGAACGACCTCACCAGGCGACAAGCATGTATTGTAAAGAAACACGCGTATGGTTCCGTCGATCTTTTCCTTCCTGCTGCTGTCAGACTGTACCTCGACACATCACTGAGGACTAAACAAACATTATCGACCTGCCTTCACATGTTGTGGATCTGTGCAGCTCATTTGAACAAATGTTCTGCATGTGCTATATGAATCCCACATGTGTCCACCGGTCCACTTTTACTTTGCCACTTGCTGCTATCATGTTAGAATATACAGTATTTTATATCGAGTTAATTGGTTCTTTTTTCTAATGTTGTGTGCTACCTCATTCTCTTCTTTAACTGGTGATTGCACACTGCCATTTCCCTAATGTGGGACAATGGATTCTTCATCTTAATATTATAATACAAAATACAATAACAAATCACTCGTGTATGCTAACAACAATGCAACTTGTTCTTCTCTCTGAACAACCGGATGCTACCCGTGATTATCCCTCAACAAAATCACACCTTTATCCGACAACTCCACAGGCTATCTTCTTCCCCAGGAACCAACCCACAACCCCCCCCCAAACCCCTCAAACCCACTTCCACTACCACCATACAACACTCCCCCAATCCTCCCCAACTACCCACTCACCACACCCCAACCTCCTCCCCCTCCACTCAACATATTTCCTCTAACCTCCCCCATCCCCCCTTCAATTCCCCACACTCATCCACTTCCATCCAAACCCAACATCCCCCCCCCACCTCCACCCCCCATAACTTCCATACACCCCCCCCCACCCACCACACCCCCCCCCACAACCCCCAACTTCAAAACATAAAAGCAAATAATAACTTAAAAACATAATAAAACTTCCACCTTAAAACCTTTACAATTTATAAAATCCCTTCCTCAATACACACCCCACTACCATACAACATCAACAACATCATCACCCACCCACACCCCCATCACACCCACCACCAAACCCAACTCATTCCTTTCCCCTCCATCTCCCCATCCACCCATCACACATATCTATCATTATATTTCTATCTTCTCATATATCATACATCCTCCTTTCCTTTTCCATTCAAATCAACCCTAACCAACCCACCCCATCTCTACCAAAAATCACCCATTATATAAACATACCCTAATCCCCCTCAAAAATATATCTTAAATCTAATACTTATACACACCATAATCACCCTCACCCTCTAACCATAAAACTACCATATTTTCAAAAATCTACCCCTACACCCCTTCCATATACCAAAATATACACATCACATATCACTCAACACATACATATATCTATACTAACAAACCTCCCTTATATATCCTTACAAACCCATCCTAAACTTAACAATCATATAATCTCTATCTATCTTACCACCTATTGGCCCTCAAATAAATTAAATCTTTTTGATAGTTATATTATACTTAGCATAACTATATCTTATTTTACCAGATAGTTCCTTAACAAATAATGAGAAACTTTTAATGAATTTTAATTTATCTACTGTAACATCCTTTTAATCACCAATTACAAGTGCCATTGCCCTATTCCTACCCTCCAATCAATCAGTTCCCCCGCACCCATACCCCCACAATAACCACATCCAATCCAACCCAACAAATGTCACATACTCTACCCCTTCCTTAAGTCAACACGCTTGCAACCCTCCACTTATCACACTCCACATCTCTCCTCCCCTAACCCCCCCACCCCCCCCCCTAACCGATACACGGCATGTTCACCGGTTAGATTGAACCATACCATCCATTATATACTCCCTAACTCTATACTTATAACTATTACCCAATAACTACACCTTTCCCACTCCCCACCTTCAAATTCACTTCCCCCATCCCTCCCTTATTGTCTCACTATCTCCCTTTTTCTCTCCCAATCGCTCTTTTACCCACCCTTACCTGCTTTACACTCACTTACCTACACTCCTCTTCCCCCATTCCCTCCTCTTAATCTTCCCTCTATACCCTTATTTCCATCCTCCCCCACCCTTTTCTCTTTTCATCTAACCTACCCTCCTCTCTATCACCCCCCCCCCCAACTCCCCCGCAATAACACTAATCATCCATACTAACCTTATCTTCCAATTACAACAACCCACACTCGTTCCTAAACACAATTCACCACCACATACAACATACTTCAATAATTCATTTATCTCCCAATCACTTTTAAATTGTTCCCATATTCATACCTTTCACCCATAAAACATAAAACCATTCCCCATATCAACTCCCCCCCTCAATCCAACCCAAATCTTCCATCACTTCATATCATACACAACATCAACATATACCCTTAACACATATAAAACAAACAATCCATCCCTCACACACTACTAAACACCTACACTCACCACAAATATATCTCCACTACTCTATAAACTACTTAAATTCATTCACTCTCCTACCATCACTCCCAGATACCATATTACCCATTTAAATTTATTATAATCTCAATGACTCCTATGTGTTTGTTTTTATATTGCATTCCCTGTGTTTATATCTCTGATCTGTTGTTTGGGAATCCGCAACTTTGTAATTTCCTCCTAGACGACTGCAGTTGTGATTTAAGGTGATACGCAAATACATTGAATGGACTCTACTCTACTTTACCCTACCCTACCCCGATAGGGATTGTTTCCACTGGCCCTGCTTAACCGGTGCCTGGTCCTTCTTTAGTACCCTCTTTAGTTCTATCCAGGCTGAGCTGGTACTAGAGTGTTATGACTGATCGTGGCCAGAGCGTATTGGAAATGCAACCAGGTAATAGAGGAGAGTAGAAAAGAGTAGAGCCGAGTATAATTGAGTAAAGTAGACTAGGGGCAAGTTTGACTATGTTATTATACTAGTTAATCTTTCTTTTGTAAATCCTGTCTTTTAACATCAACTAAAGGCCTGATTATGACAGCTTCACCGATATCCTGTCTAACTCTAGGAGCCGCATTGACTCCCATCAGTGTTGTATTTGTTTTCAGACCC